CCCAGGGCTTCTGGGAACCTGCCCTTCAGCACACATGCGAGTCCCTGTCTCAGTGACTCCTTAGAGTTGATAGCAGCTCACAAGCCCAGTCCTAAGTGCTGTCCCCGCGTCACCCTATCTGATCCTCGCGCAACCTCTTGGTGTGAGGACACTGAAGCTTGGAGGCTGTAAGGAACTTGCTAATCAGAAGAGTAAAATTTGGGCCTGGTTCTATGTGATACCAGAGCCTGACCTCTAACCCACTGGCCTTCAGCAGTGGGTGAGGGTGGACAGTTTGGCAAGGGAGATTAGACATGCACAGAAATAACATGATCTGATGACGATGCCGTGTGTTTGTTGCTAGCATGGGGTTTTTAGGGGCTGTGGCATAGCCCCATTCATTCGAGCCTCCCATCAGTAGATGGGGTGATGGTTATCAGGCTTGTTCCCCAGCAGAGGAAACTGAGACTGGAGAGGCAGAAGGAGTGCAGTGCGCAGGCTCACTCAATCCAGTGGTAGCTGAGCTGGATGGAAGCTCAGTGCCCTCACGCTCATCCTCGGCCTCATGCAGCGCTCACCAGCACCACCTCCACATCCTGCTTACTAGTAGTGTAGTGGGGGCCCCGTTACAGCAACAGGAGCATCCCTTCTTGGCAAAAGAATGTCAAGGTCACCTGATTTGCAAGGCAGCGTGTCTTGGTGGCCAAACCACAGGCCGGGAGCCTTTCTCTGGGTTCAAATGCTGGCCCTGCCACCTGCATGCAAGGTGACATCTGAATCTCAGTGTCCACATTGATAAAACCTGGATCATAATAGGACTTGCCCCATTGGATCGTTGTAAGGAGTAAGGCTAGTGCAGGTAAAACATGTTGCATGTGTCTGGCATGTAGGAAGCACTGAATAAGTATTAGTTGATAACTTCTATTTTTATAATCATTATTATTCAACAAGATCAGATTCCTGTCCCACCCAAAAATTTATCGGAGGAGGAACCTGTGTGTGAAACCAAGTCATTCCTCACAGTTCTCTATCAGCAGATTTAATTAGTGGTTAGTAAGTAAATTAATTCATTAATGGAAGAAAGAAAGCACAGCCTATGCATCAGGAGACGTGGCTTCTAAAATCAGTTCTGCCACTGGCTGTGGCCCCAAGCCTCTCTTGACCTTAGTCTTCTCATCTGTAATGTGAGGTGGCTAGCCTGGTGAGCACGCTGGGAATCTCGTACCTTGTGCAGAGTACTGGGCTGAGTCACCATGTTCTTCCAATGACAGACTACTTGAAGAACAAGAAAGACATGAGCAGTGAACTCACGGCACAAATCAGGAAAGGAATTCTTGGGGCAGTGTACCTAGTCCCCAAGTGTTTGTCCTCTCTCTCGTTAAATTTGTAACTTAATTGGTATTGCTTTTAGTATATTGTGGCTAATATTGGATGTTATCTAAATTTTGTATGCCATTTAAATGCTGATTTAATCACCAAGTTATTTTCCACAATCCTTGCATCATTAGTGCCTTCCTACCTGCAGTGAATGGATGAGCCAGTCATTCCTTTGATCATTTATTCATTCATTCTCTTATTTTGTTGAGAAGTCACCAGGCCAAACGTTGCTCCCAGTGCTGCTATAGAGCTGAATGAGCAGTGAAAAACCTGGTTGCTTCCATCTGAGAGTTTACCGTGTAGACTTTCTCTGCTCCCTCCTCTCTTGTGGATGGTCATTGTCTCCCAAGCCAGCAGAACTGTAAAAACATGGAGCCGCTCCACCTCCCTGCCTCTGGGGCAGCCAGGGCAGGCTCTGAGAGCTGTCTCCAAAAGCTGTCTCCTGGGTTCCTAACTCTACCTAGCTCAGGTCACAGTCTTTATCTGCATCCCAGGTTCCATGTGGACCTTGTCAAGAAGCTTTTGACAATACCATTCATCCAGCTCCCTTTCTTTCATATGAAGTCAACTGCACTTGAATCAGAAAGTTTATTCTAGTAGTTAAGTCTAAGAAGGTGGCACTGTCCTCATATCAGTATTTAACTTCTGAAGATGAGGCTGCTTCTGAGTCTTTGTTAACTTCTTGCCTTCTGTTTTGATGGACCAGGTGCTCTCCCAGAAGTGCCCAGTTATCTGGAGCCCTTTGGTCTCAGGCTTCTCCCCATCCTCCCGCCTGATCTTTTCTAGGTCTCTCTGCTTCTCATCATGACACCGGCGAATTGTAAACCTTCGCTAGATCATCTGTAAATAGCCTTAGTTTCTGTTCGGGCTGGAGCGGGGAGGGGGAAGTGAGGGTAGTAGCGGCGAAGGCCAATTTTAAAAAAACAAACCTGTTGCCATTGAGTCGATTCCAACTCATAGTGAGGCTAATATTCTGCCTTTCTAAAATTTGAGGGGAAACTGCTGTAGGGAAAACAAGCAAATAACATAATTATCTCAGTCTACCAGTGTTTTATCGTAACAAGAAGATTCTTGTGGGCTTTGGGGCAGATGTGGATGCTTTTATTTAAAAAGATATTATAGGAAATTTATTTCTGTTGATGACACTTTGACATAGAGACAGTCTCTCAGTCCCAACCAACAGAGTATGCTCACAGAATGAGGAATAAGAGAATGAGGTTGGTTGAGGAGGAGGGCTAAGACCAGGGTGCCGTGCTTGACCTTGGTTTGCCGTCATTGAGAGGGGGGCAGGTTGGCCTGCTTGCCTCATTACCCCAAGGTGTCTGTGTCCCCACTGTGTCCCTCCCCTGCTGGGGCTGCAATCCTGCTGCTGTGAGCTTGGTCGTTCCTCTGCCATGTCTTCCTCTGTGTCCCTGATTCAGGGACATTGATCTGAGCAGCAAGGTCACCTGCCCTCCTTTCCCTGGCCCAGGTTGCTGGAGGCACAGCTGCAGGCCCAGAGCCGAGAGCATGAGGAGGAGGTGGAGAGTCTCAAGGCCCAGGTGGAAGCCCTAAAGGAAGAGATGGACAAGCAGCAGCAGACCTTCTGCCAGACGCTGCTGCTCTCCCCAGAGGCCCAGGTGGAGTTCGGCATCCAGCAGGAGATAACCCGGCTGACGAATGAGAATCTGGTGAGTAGCCATGCCTTGTGGATCAGCTCTGGGAAGTCACTTTCTGGAAGCAATTGGGACCAGGAATGGCTTTTAGGCAAGTGGACAAGATAAGATTCTAGATATACCCCTGTCGGCAAGGGTTTGTAGAGCTACTTCAATTATTTATTGCTGTATAACAAACCACCCCAAAACTTAGTGGCTTAAAACAGCAACCACAGTGATGTGGGTCAGGAATTCTGCAGGGCCCAGTGGGGGCAGCTTGTCTCGGCTCCATGTGGTGTTGGCTAGGCATCTTAACTGGGGCTGGAGGGTCCAACACAGCCTCTCTCCCAGGTCTGATGCCTTGGTTCTCCTCCTCCATGAGGTCTGTCTCTCTTCACATGTGCTCATCATCCATTGATCCAGCCTGAGGTTCTTTACTTGGCAGCTGGCTTCCAAGAGGATGAAAGCAGGAACTGTAAGGTGTCTTTTTTTTTTTTTTTTTAAACAGAAATGTATTTAAGGACTAAAAACAGATCACAGAATCAACGGAGGGACTAACAATGGTGTCACTAGGGTTGGTGTTACCATGGTGTTACTCATGGTGTTACCCCCTGCCTTAGTTACCTAGTGCTGCTATAACAGAAATATCACAGGTGGATGGCTTTAACAAACAGAAATTTATTCTCTCACAGTCTAGGAGGCTAGGAGTCTGAATTTAGGGTGCCAGCTCCTGAGGAGGGCTTTCTCTCTCTGTTGGCTCTAGGGGAAGGGCCTTGTCATGAGTCCTGTAAGGTGTCTTAAGGCTGAGTCCCAGAGCTACATAGCGTCACTTCAGCCACATGCTCTTGGTCAAAACAATCCAAATGGCTAGACCAGATGTGGGAAGATAGACTCCACCTCTTGATAAGAGGAGCAATGTTGTATGCAGGGGTGGGAGGAATTACAGGCCATCCTTGTAGACAGTGTTGCCTGAGAAATGGAAGAGAGTCCGTCTTAAAAAAGCTTACAGGTTAGTAGGGAAAGTAAGACTCGTCAAAAGAAAGAAGAAAATGTTTTTAAAAACATAACTCTACGTGGGATTAACAATAAGCATTATGAAAGAGAGAGAATTGCAGGGGAGGCTTTTGGGAGAAGGTGAGGCTTGAGCTGAGACAAAAGACCCAAGGAGATGGAAACCATGTAGGTGGATGGAGAGGAGATGGGAGGAGGAGAGTGTGGACATAGGTACCAGACAGGAGTGAGCAGGGCAGAGGACAGGGGTGATACCAGAGGGCCAGGTGCCCTCTGGAGTCGAGTGTGCCTGTGGGGCTGCAGCAGGAAGTGCCCCAAGCCTGACCAGTCATAGTGGCCATCTCCCCTTTATAACCAGGTGGCCCCAAGCTTGGAAGCCTGGTTCATTCAATCCCAAGGGGAGAAGTGGAGCCCTGGACCTCCAGCTCCATGAATAGGACTTATATGCAAATAATCCTCACTCCCCTCGCCCCCTCTCTCTGTCTGCATGTCCTCTTTGTCACTCTGTGTTGCTCTGTCCGTCTGACCTCACACACACATATACAGCTAGCTCTATGGAAAGAAAAGACACCAGTTGCTATTGAGTCTTTTTCGACTCATGGCAACTCCATATGTGTCAGAGTAGAACTGTGCTCCATAGAGTTCTCAATGACTGATTTTTTGGAAGTAGAGCGCTAGGCCTTTCTTTCAAGGGGCCTGTGGGTGGTCTCAAACCTTCAGCCTTTTGGTTAGCAGCCAAGTATGTTAACCGTTTTCACCACCCAGGGACTCCTTATCTCCTTCTAAAAAATCAGCCACTGAAAACCCTATGGAGGATAGTTCTGCTCTGACATGGGGTCACCGTGAATTGCAGTCGACTCGGTGGCAACTGGTTTTTATGAAAATAAACATGCAGATTACCTTTCTGGGCTGGCTTGTGCCAGGTGAGGAGGCAGTGTGGGAAGTGCATTTGTCAGCCTGTTTGTACCACCCGCGACTCCAGAATCCGCTAGGGACCTTTTAAAACTCCCGGTACCCAGGTTGTACCCAATACCAATTAAATCAAAATCCCTGGGGGTGAAGCCAGGCATCAGTAGTTTTTTAAAGATCTCCAGGTGATTTATTCCAAAGTGCAGCAAGTCTGGGAACCATCACCTTACACAGTTCCCCTTAACGCATTAGGAACGAGGTGCTCAGGGATGTGAGAGGGATGTAGGCTTAAATGGCTGGCAGACAAGGTACAGGGGTTCAGCTGTGCAAAGCCATGTTCGCAGTCGTGTATAAGAAGTTCCCCCTCTGCTGGAGTGGTCCAGGTAAAGTATCATATTTCCTGGCTGTTTTCCCGGAACCTGGCAGAGGTGTCTGAGCCCTCCTTGCAGACAGCTGACGACGGGGGCTGAGGCCCTGCTTCCGTATTAAGCAGTCCTCGTTGGAGTGGCTGGTGTTTTGTTAGCTGAGAAGGGTGTTGTAGCATCTATTGTCTGGTCTCCCAGGGTGCAGGGAAAGGTTTCCACATGGTGGAAAAGACACAAAGCACGTCATTGGGTGAGGTGATGTTGTGTGGAGGAGCACGGGGACCAGATGGGAGTTGCAGAACCGGGGTTCCTGTCCTGACTCAGTCTGGAGCAAAACCTCAAAGAATCTGTTGAAAAGTTTCTCAAGTTGCCTACGTCCTTTGTAGGGACTGGCCTCTAGCTCAGAGTTCCCTTGCAGGTCCGTGATGCAAGCGTGGTTCTGTGCTGCCTCTCCTGTCATTCAGGCTGGGCTTTCAGATAGCTCTCAATCTGAGAACCTTATTTTAAAATGTGCTCTTTTCAGTCCTTGACGACATCTCTCTAGGTTTGCAGTGTGCTATGGCCATAGCACTGGGCTTTTGGCTGACTTTTGTCTGAAGGTCAACCTTAAGATTGTCGCCTAAGATGTTTTCTGAGGTTCCGAGAGGGAGCATTCACCTCTGTCTTCTGCATGACTCTGGTCTCAGAGCCTCAGCTGTAATGGGTGGGGCAGGGATCCCTCTTCTCCTCCTCTCTGTCTCCCAGGCCACAGAGGACCACACTCCGCAGCTGGAACCAGGGTAGCACAGTAGCACTAAGGATAGCAAAACCTCCCCTTCCCCCCACCCTCCAGCAACTTGCTGTTCTAGATCCCAGTGGGCTGATTTGCTTCCAGTGGCAACAGTTGCTAGGGATTGGGCAGCAACAGCCACTGTCCTGTTTTCCCTCTGAGCCCCAGGTAATCTCACTGTCCTACTGGCTGGTCCTGCCAAGTACCCCCCACCCTACTTCCTTCTCACACCTCCACCTGTCCATTCCTTCCAGGAGCGCTGGCCACTCCACCCCAGGGCACCAAGGTTGAGAGTGTCTCCTGGGGGGTTGGCACGGCAACCAAGGAAGCATAGTTTGGTGGGGGGGCCTGAGCATCCAGTGGGATGCCAGGAAGCCTGAGCCTGGAGGAGTTTGCCCTGCCTTTATGGAGGATGAACTTTGACTCATGCCCAGCTCCCTGCGTTGGTCTTTGTTCCAGGTCGGTGAGCCCAGTTCGCAGATGGCTGCCTACAAGGCCACTCGGGGCCGCATCCACCCTGCATAAGTATTCAACCTGGTGCCGCCCAGGGCTGGGCTTCCGGCTGTTCTCACGTTGCTTGTTCTACTTTCAGGACCTTAAAGAACTGGTGGAAAAGCTGGAGAAGAATGAGAGGAAGCTCAAGAAGCAGCTAAAGATCTACATGAAGAAAGTCCAGGACCTAGAAGGTAGGATGAGTGAGTGTGCGTATGAAGCAAAGGTGACTCTGCCACGCTTCAGGGAAGCCAGTTGCCTGCCCCTTTCTGGAAACTTCTTCCATTGCACTAGTTTCCTTGTAGCAGTGCCCAGTCCAGCCATGCAATAGAACAATTCAGACCCTAAGAGTTTAAACATTCTCTGTTTCCCAGATGTGGATGAAGACACTTGAATTAGCAGGTGTTTGCCCTGGTGGTACAGTGGTTAAGAGCTTAGCTGCTAACCAAAAGGTCAGCAGCTTGAATCCACCAGCTGCTCCTTGGAAACCCTATGGGACAGTTCTACTCTGTCCTATAGGGTCACTATGAGTCGGAATCAACTCAACAGCAACAGGTTTGGGTTTTTAGGGGGTTGGGTACTTACTCTGAGCAAGGCTCTGCAGAGGCAAGGAACAGGGAACTGGAAAGGTGACCCTGTGGCCCCTGCCCTCAAAGGGTTAAAATCCAGAGGCAAGACTTTCTGATATGAAAGAATGCTGTGTAACCAGTTTAAAAAAAAACAGTTGCTGTCGAGTCAGTTCCCACTCATGGCAAACCCATGTGTGTCAGAGTAGAACTGTGCTCTATAGGGTTTTCAATGGCTTGTTTTTTTCAAGTGGATCGCCAAGCCTTTCTTCTGAGGGCACCTCTGGGTGGACTAGAGTCTCCAACCTTTCTGTTAGCAGCTGAGCATGTTAACCGTTTGCAACACCTGAGGGATCCTTGCTATGTAACACAAAGACCCAAATCACGGGGCTCACTCCTTGTTGATGGGAAGCCAGGAGGGAGAGCAGTCAGTTCTGTGATTACACTTCTGTTGAGGAATCCAGCACAGAGAGGCCAGGCAGACATTTAAATTACTTCTCCAGAAATACCCAGAATGTTGTCTTCTCTACCTTCTCCTGCTGCAAATCTCATCGCGTCACACTCCCTGCCCCAGCATTGAACATGCTACGCCTCTGCTTGGAACCCTCTTGTCACCTTGATGCCCCTCCTCATCCTTCCAGCCACATCCCCGGGCCTCGAGTCCCCTCTGACCCTGTCCTAACACCACCAGCTGTCAGTCAGAGCACCGATCGCCAGTGTTCTGTTTCATCTCTTGCCGTGTCCGCCCGCTGCCCTAGACCCCAGGCTCTAGGAGTGCAGGGACGTCTGTCCTGTTCAACCTCGAGTCCCAGGCCCCCACCAGGCACATGCGCACTTTCTAGCGGGCCGTCTCTCTCCGTACCTTGCGCACAAGCCTCTTCATGTTTGGATTTCTTTTTTCTGTTACTTGAGTTCTCGTTCTCCTAGTTGCCCGGGCTTAAAGCTTTTCCCCCATTGCTTAGTCTTTTTTTTTTTTTTTTTTTTAACTTTGTTGTGCTTTAGATGAAAGTTTACAATGCAAATTAATTTCTCATTCAAAATTTATACACAAATTGTTTCGTGGCATTGGTTGCAATCCCCACAACATGTCAGCACTCTCCCCGTTTCCATCCCGGGTTCCCCATTTCCATTTATCCAGTTTTCCTGTCCCTTTCTGCCTTCTCACCTTTGCTTTTGGGCAAGTGTTGCCCATTTGGTCTCTTATACTTGATTAAGGAGCGTGTTCCTCACAGGTGTTATTGTTGTTTTGTAGGCGTGTCTAATCTTTGGCTGAAAGGTGGACTTTGGGAGTGGCTTCGGTTCTGAGTTAGCAGGGTGTCTGGGAGCCATAGTCTCAGGGGTTCCTCTAGTCTCTGTCAGACAAGTAAGTCTGGTCTTTTTTGTGAATTTGAATTTTGTTCTACATTTTTCTCCCACTCTGTCCCAAACCCTCTATTGTGATCCCGGTCAGAGCGTTCTGTGTTGGTAGCCGAGCACCATCTAGTTCTTCTGGGCTCAGGCTGGTGGAGGCTGTGGTTCATGTGGTCCATTAATCCTTTGCACTAATATTTTCCTTGTGTCTTTGGTTTTCTTCATTCTCCTTTGCTCCAGGCAGGATAAGTCCAGTAGATGTATCTTAGATGGCTTGCAGGCCTTTAAGACCCCAGACACTATATCACCAAAGTAGGATGTAGAACATTTTCTTTATGAGCTGTGTTATGCCAGTTGACCTAGATGCCCCACCATTACTCAGTCTTGAAGACCTATTGCTCCCTCTCCTCAGATGCTTCTCTGCGTCTACCCTCTCCCCCAGCCCACACTCTGACCAGCCTCACCCCCTCGCTCCTAGGTGACTATGGTAGCTTCCTAGCCCCCACCTCTGCCCACAGGGACAGGCTGATCTTCCCCAGCACTGTTTGGTCTCAGTCACTTCCTCACTGCCTGCAGAATGCAATCTGGTCTCCCTTCATGCACCCTCTCATCTCTTTCCTGCTCAGCTGCCCAGGCGCTGGCCCAGAGTGAGAGCAGGCGCGATGAGCTCACCAGGCAGGTCACGGTCCAGCGGAAGGAGAAGAACTTCCAGGGCATGCTGGAGTACCACAAGGAGGATGAGGCCCTTCTCATTCGGAACCTGGTGACAGGTAGGACCCACTGTGGCACCCCAACCCGTGCCCTGTCATCCACCCTACTCCCTCAACCTGCTCCCATTTCTATCCCCAGCATAACCCATCCCCCATTCTTCACCTCTGACACTATGCACTGCCACTCCACCTCTGTCCTCCACCCCCCACCCTCCACACCTCCACACACAGACCCCTCCCCATCGCCCCATCCCCTCCACAGCCCCTACCCCATCCTCTTCCTCACATCCATCATCTCAAGCTGCTGCCCCTGATAAACGACCCACAGCTTTTCCAAATAAAAACTCAATCTTTTGCCATCTGAGTCAACTGCAGACATCACCTTGGCAGGCCTGGCCCCAGGGTTACCAGGCAGCTGTGAGCACTGCTTCCCGGAACTCCCCTTCCTTAGGTGGGTGCCTCAGGACTGAAGACCCTCCAGCCCAGCCACTGTTAAGTCAGAGGAGAGCCTCCTGCTCCTCGGGCTCTCTTTCTGGCTGCTCAGCAAGGCTGTGTCAGTCACATTTGCCGGTTGCTCAGATTTGTGCCTCGGCAGTTCCGTGTGTGGGGGCTGCCCTCTAGGGGTCGGCTTCTGGAAGCTGCTTTCCTCACCCACCTAGTTTGCCAGTTGTACCAGCTCCCTCCCCTCTGGTCTCATGCCATCTGGCTCCAACACACCTGCCTTCCTGTTCTGCACCAACCCCAGTCCAGCAGCCCACCACAGAGCCAGGAGGACGAGTCTAGAGGAGACAGTCCTGGGTGAACAAGGAGGCCTCTGGCACTCTGATCCTCTGACCCTGAGCCATAGCTTTGTTCTCTGTGGCGCCTTGCTCTCGCATTTGTAAAATGGCCCTGACTACCCCTCACATGGAATACAACCAGTGTGAAAGAGCCTTGTTAAAACCGCAAAACCCTCCTCAAATGAGAGGAATTTGAAGAAGTGGTAGTTTTTGCAGAGGTGTTGAAGTTCAAATAAGAGGTAAACATTATTTTAGAGGAATTTACTCTTTTAAAAAACATGTTGCCGTCCCGCTTTGCGGAGAGCACCACGTGCCATGGGCGCAGGCACCCAGGAAGGAGGGAACTTGGCTTCTACCTAGAAAGATTGTGCTTTGCCTGCTAGGTTTGGGTGTTGAATAGCTTGCTTTTTACTGAGTAGTCTGCTCTTTTTATGAAGGTTAATTTCCCCTGCAATTGTCTAATAATTGCATATGTAAGTTCTGGCATGAAACTTCCTTAAACAGGCTGCATCTTGTTTAAACACTGCTAGGAATGAACCTTTAATCTGTGGTGAATGAAATACAAAGTTCACAACATCAGAGTAAAAGAAAACTAATGAGGCTTGCTTGTCCCAGACAGGTGGCTGCCTGGTACTTTTGCAGTGTGTCCTCCCCACTGCCCTTGCTTAGGGTGGTCCCAGGGTGGTCATAGCCTGCTAATCTGCCTGCACATAGCACCCATTCGTCTTCCCTCTGAAGACCCCTCCCAGAGAAGCCAAGATTATATTAAACCCCTCTCAGGTACTCAGCTAGTTGATGTGGAGGAAAGAGAAAAGTCAAACCCAAGGTCCCTGACCCACAAGAGGCTAACATTTAGCTGGGAGAAGGGGACTCAAGTCACAGTAGAACATTCCAAAGCAGGACAAGCTGTTTGCTGTCTGCACACAGGTGAGGCTGGAAGCAAGGTTGGAAGTCTGGGCCTTAGAATGCATCTTTCTGGGTAAATATTATTGACATTCTAATTAGATCAAGGGCTAATCCACAGCCATCTACCGAGCCTATAAAATGCCTGAATGTTAACCCTGTACCTGTATTCTGACCCGTAATGAGCATTAACTGGAATGATGGATTTAAGGGGACAAAGCAACCCAAGTACCAACTGGAGATGTTGGCAGCACGTTCCCAGCCCCCACCAGGGCAGCCCTGGCAGAAGATTTGAGGATGTGCCTCATCCTCTTTCCCTGGCCCACCTGCAGGTAGAAGGGAGGTGGCTTCCCCTCATCGCCATTCTGAGCCTGGAGGTGGCACATGAGGCCTGGGCTGGGGGCGGGAAGGGATGAGAATCCAGAGCTGGACAGCAGTGCGAATGCCTGGGGCCTACGCTCGGGCTGTTCCATTCCCCCGCTCTGCTCTCTCACCTTTCCTCTCCCCTTTGCACCAGGCCTCTCATCCTCCTCCTCTGGGCTCGTACCATCACCATTGCTCTTGTTGGTTGCCTCCCATGCTTACTCTGGAATGGAAAGTAGTCTGACAGTTTCTCCCTAGCCCCCCAGGAGCTTCAGCAGGGAAGGGCCACAGGGCTGAGTATGAGTCTGCAGTTGATGGGGAGGGCCACAGCCTCTTCTAGTCCTGCCAGAGCAAACCTTGCAGGGGCAGAGGTGGGGGTGCAGAAGAGACTAGTTGTGGGAAGTAGGAAGTAGGGTAGTTGTTGTCCCTGACTATAGCCAAGTTAGCACTGGCCACAGAGAGGCTGCTAAGAGGATGCCAGGTGGTGGCACTGGGGAGTGCAGGGTGTGGCTGTGGCCACTGTGTGGCAGTGAGGGTATCTAAGAGCAAATGCTGCCAGGTAAAGTCCCCAAACTGATGGCCAGATGATCCAGAAGTTGCTCCAGCCTTCCCAACCCGCTGCTGACTCACTCTGTCTTTGTAAGCAGACACCAGATCCTCCTGGGACCTGCCCTTGCATTCTTGCTGTTGAAAACCCCACTGTGCCAATGTTGGGACACAGAGATATGGAGGAATGAGGAGTTCTGGTCCTAGTGGGAGAGCCAGGTTCATCTGCAGCCTGCCTCTGGCCCAGGCCCCATCTTGGCTATGGACCACAGTGTCTGTGTATAAACTCAGACCAGGAGCTACTTGTGGACTGCTTTCCTCTGTATTGTAAGAACAAGGCATTAAGAGCTCATCTTAATTTTACAATCTGAACAATTAGGAACATTTTTTTTAAGTAGGAAAAAAATTAATATATTTTACTACAACCTTCATATGATAAAGGAAACCATAACAGTGTTCAACAGACTAAGAGAAGATATTAATAATGTATATAACATACAAATGATAGTATCCTGAATACATTAAAAAACTGCAAATAAACAAGAAAAATACAAACAATCTAATGGAGAAATGGGCAAAATATTTTACACAGGCAATTCACTGAAGAAATCTGATCAATGAACATTATCTCAGCTTCACCTTTTGATTATCATGATTATACATTAAACTAATATTCAGTGTTGATAAGGCTGGGAGAAGTGGAGACTTCTCATCAACTTCTGGTGGGAATGTACATTGGTTCTGCTATCTTAAAGAGTATTATGACAGTAGATAAAGTAAATTTGAAAATATATAAAATCTAGGCTCCAGAAATTCTAACTGTAGGCAGTCTTTAGGAACATGCTTTTGTTTGTCTTGTTTTTTAATGATTCTTTCTGCACCTACTAGTCATCAGGGTCACAAGGAGTTTGTGTCCCCCAAGGCAGCTGTGTCCCACTCCTCTTGCTCCCTGCCAGCCCCTCAGCCCCCTGAAAGGCCTATTCTTAGAAGAGCTACAGGAAAATATTGGAAGTATTTATATTTCTGGCCAGAATTCTTAGAGCTTCAAGTGTCCTCTGTAAACCTAACTCTTGCTTCTTGGTGTTGTCACTGCTGGCAGACCTGAAGCCCCAAATGCTGTCAGGCACAGTGCCCTGTCTCCCTGCCTACATCCTCTACATGTGCATCCGGCACGCGGACTATGTCAACGACGACCTCAAGGTGCACTCTTTGCTGACCGCCACCATCAATGGCATTAAGAAAGTCCTGAAGGTGAGTGTCTCTGCAGAAGGGAGTAGTATGCGGTGGACCAAGGGAAGCCAGCACCTCCCCATTGCTTTCCTGTGTCTGGGTTTTACAGTAGTGAGTTCTCTGAAGGCAAATGATTCAGGCACAAAAGCACTCACCCAGGGTAACTGGGATGCCCAGGGCAGTCCCTAGAGAAAGATGCTCAGGCTCAGAAATGGTAGGAAGCCTGGAAATCCAGTCTAGGCCTACAACTAAGTCTCCAGGGTGCCCTCGGTACTCACAGATGGCTTGAGGTGGGAGGGAACAAGGGGCAGGCAGGAGTCCAGTCTAGCTTGGTCCTGTCCCAGTGTGCTCAAGGGCACAGACTGCTGAACAGCAGCTGGGCCAAGTACCCTGACCTGCTACTGATGAAGATGCTAGGGAAACATCCTGCACACAGGCCCTCTCCAGACCTTCCCAGAGGGCTAGGCACTTGGCCAGAGCACTGGCACAGGGACAGGCGCTGACATTCATTGACTTCCAAGGTGAGGCAGCCGCATCAGAACAGAGCTGCTCTCAGAGTTGAGGCAGTTCAGGAATGCCACCTGAAGGCACAAGGCTCTTCACAAATGTAGTGGCAGTTGGGCCACTCCAGCAACAAGCTAACCTGCAGGGAGTTGAAGACCAGCCACATAGGGGCAAGGGCCAGCTATGGGAGGTGAGGTTTTTAGGGAGACTACTCCTCAGTGAGGGATTTATGCCTCCTAGCAGACCCAAGCCCCAAGTATTATTGCTCTTAGAGACTGTTCTTCTCACATACACTGCCATTTCCAGGGTGCAAACCATCCTCCGACCAACTCTGAGGTCCTCTGAGTCACTGTGGTCTGCCCCCACTTTCTCCTTCTAAGAAAATGCCAGAGCCAGCCTGTAACCTCTAGCTTCATGCCAATTTTATATCAGCTCCATTGACTTCCCTGCCGTAGGTTCCATAGGCAATTTTATCCATTCACAACTCTAAACATACCTTATCTATGTGCTAAACCAAACCAGTTGCCATCAAGTTAAATCCAACTCATGGTGACCCCATGTGTGTCAGAGTAGAACTGTAGGGTTTTCAATGGCTGTAACCTTTCTTCTGAGATGCCTCTGGGTGGACCTGAACCTCCACCCTTTCAGTTAGCCGCCGAGCACGTTAGTTGTTTGCACCAGCCAGGGACTCCATCTACATGGCTGATGACTCTCGAATTTGTGCCTCCAGCCTTGACCTCTTTTATAAATTCCAGCTGCCTTCTTCACATTTCTACCTAAAGATCTAACAGACAACTCAAATTCAACATGTCTAAAACTGTTTTGATTCCCTCACCACTAACATCTCCCACTCTTTACCATTTCATTTGATAGCACACCACTCTTCTCCCAGTCGTTCAGTCCAAAACCTTAGGAATTAACCTTTATTACTTTTTCCCTCCCCTCAGTGTCTAGTCATAAGCAAAACTTGTCATTTTAACCCCAAAATATATCCCAAATCATACCCTTTCTCACTATCACCACTACTTCCATCCCAGTGGAGGGCCCCATTATTCTCTCCTACAGCAGCCTCCTATTGTCCTTGTCTTCTGCCCAGCAGACAGGGTGGTCTTTGAATGCCTAAGTCAGGTCACACAATTCTCCTATTTAAAACCTTCTGCTCAACACAATCCCTATCAAAATCCCAGCTGGCTTTTTTGCAGAAATTGATATGCTGATCCTAAAATTCATATGGAAATTCTAGAGATCCAGATCAGCCAAGACACTCTTGAAAAAGAACAAAGTTGGAGGGCTCACACTTCTCAGTTTCAAAACTTAACTACAAAGCTGCACTAATCAAGACAGTGTGGTACTGGCATAAGGATAGACATACAAATCAATGGAATAGAATTGAGAATCCAGAAATAAACCCTTACATCTGTGGTCAACTGATTTTTGATAAGGGTGCCAAGACCATTCAATGGAAAAAGAATAGTCTTTTCAACAAATGGTGCCAGGACAACTAGATATCCATATGCAAAAGAATGAAATTGGATCCCTATCTCACACCATATACAAAAATTAACTCAAGATGGATGAAAGACCTAAACGTAAGAGCTAAAGCTATAAAACCCTTAGAAGAAAACATAGGAGTAAATTTTTGTGACCTTGGAATTGACAATGGTTTCTTAGATATGAAACCAAAACCATAAGCAACCAAAGAAAAAAAAGTAGATAAATTGGACTTCCTCAAAATTAAAAACTTTTGTGCTTCAAAAGACACCAAGAAAGTGAAAAGGCAACCCACAGAATGGGAGAAAATATTTGCAAATCATAATCTGATAAGGAATTTATATCCAGAATATATAAAGAGCACTTGCAACTCAACAATAAAAAGACAAATAGCCTAATTTAAAAATGGGCAAAGGATCTGAATAGACATTTTTCCAAAGAAGATATACAAATGGCCAATAAGCTCATGAAAAGATTCTCAACATTATTAGTCATTAGTGAAATGCAAATCGAAACCACAGTGTGATACTACTTCATATTTACTAGCATGGCTATAATTTTAAAAAAAAAAAAGAACAGTAACAAATGTTGATGAGCATTTGGAGAAAATGGAACCCTCATACATTGCAGATGGGAATGTAAAATGTTGCAGCCACTCTGGAAAACAATTTGGCAGTTTCTCAAAAAGTTAAACACAGAGTTAGCATATGACTCAGCAATTCCACTCCTATGCATATATCCAAGATAAACAAAAACATACGTTCACACAGAAATATGTACACAAATGCTCATTGCAGCATTATTCATTAACAGCCAAAAAGTGGAAACAACCCAAGTGTCTATCAACTGATGAATGGATAAACAAAATGTGGTCTGTCCACGTAGGGAATATTATTCAGCCATAAAAAGGAATGAAGAATTGATATATGCTACAACACAGATGAAGCCTGAAAACATAATGCTAAGTGAGAGAAGACAAACGCAGAAAGTCACGTATTGTATGATTCCAATTTATATGAAAAGGAAAATCCATAGAAATAGAAAGTAGACTAGCGATTGCTGTGGTGGGGGGTGATGGGGAGTGACTGCTAACAGGCACAGGGTTTCTTTATGGGCTATAGAAATGTTCTGGAATTAGATAGTAGTGATGATGGTTGTACAACTTTGTGAATATACTTAAAGCCACTGAACTGTATACTTTAAAAGAGTCTATTTTAGAGTATATAAATTATACCTCCATTTCAAATCAAAACAACCTTTAGTGATTTCACATGGCAATTTAGAGTAAACTTCAAACTCCTTTCCATGACCCACAGGGTGCTACACTATCTAGCCCTGTCAGCTCAGTGCCTCTTTGGTTCACCATGCTTCAGCACGCTGCCTTTCTTCAACCCCTACAATGTGCTAAGCTTGTTGTTCTCTATCCCTGGATTGCCTGTCCCTCCCCCACCGGGTGGGTACATGACTGCCACCTTCTTATGGTCTAGGACTGACCTCAAATGTCACTTCCTTAGGGAAGCCTTCCCTAACCACCTAGGTAAATTAGCATGCCCCACCCCTACCTGTCACTCTCTTTTCTGCTTCCTTGTTTTATTTTTGTCAAAGCTCATACCTCTCCCTGACAATGTAAACAAAGATGACACTTAAACCTGACAGGATATGAGCTCCATGAGGTCGCTGGTTTTAGTGCATAAACGTATCATAGCTCTTTGGGTTGTTTTGCACCCTTTTCTATTTAGTTATGGTTTGTGGCAATCTTCCAGAAAGTTGAAGCCATTATGACATTTGACCTCTACATGAATGGGATATCAGAAGTATTTCACTGGTATGCTCCTTGACTTCTCTTATGTTGGATAACTTAACTGGTAGTTGAGAAAAGCCAGGGCCAGTTAGCCCAGGTAGCTAGACTGGAGCCCAGGGCTGCTGATGTAGAACTTTGTCTGTGTCAGTTGGCTCAAAGCCGTCAAAGGGAGCTGGTCCTTTGTATGTGTGCATGTATGTACCACTGATCAGGTGCCCCGAGAGAGGCTCTGTGTACCATCTCCAGTAGTGGCAAGGGGTCTCACTCTGTGCCTGGCAAGTGTCCTGCCCATCATCAGGTCTGATTGGAGCATGCTGGGTGAGAAGAGTCAGAAACAGGAAAGAGAGGCACCAGGTTAGCGTTTAGCCAGATGGGAACCACTTACTCATAGCTAGGGATTTCTTTTTATTTTTGCAGAAGCACAACGATGACTTTGAGATGACGTCATTCTGGTTATCCAATACCTGCCGCCTCCTTCATTGTTTGAAGCAGTACAGTGGGGATGAGGTGAGTGGCAAATCTTCACTCTAGTTTCTTGGGTGAGAATCCCAATTTGTCCCAGACACTGCCCACACCCAGGTCCCCGTGGACCTTCTCAAGTCTCCTTTCTCCCCATGCTTTCTTTTATCTCACTATCCACCCTTCCCAAGGTCAAGACATAATGTTAACCAAAATAGTGCAACAGTTTTAGGGCTTATCTTTACTCCATCTTTTGTGCCAGAACGTGCTTTGAGACACTTGTCTCCTGAGATAGTAAAAGGGTGTGCCATACCAATCACTCTTATGTCTTTGGAATGTGACAGCCTGTCTCTCCTTAGAAACAGCTTAGTTCGATCTCCTGCTTTTATTATATAACTTATGAAAGGGGTGGGTTAGATGTTAAAGAAATCATTTCTACTATATTATTGGAAGAAATGGCCTTCATTTGAAGCCAGATGCCCTCTCTTACATTTCCCTAATAGTATGCAAACTTTTCCTTAAGCATAGGACTACACTTAATGTTATTGCATTGAGGTTCTAAATGGAACATTATAAGGCTAGGACAGGGCCAAGAACTCCATTATATTCCAAAAAACCAAACCAAACCCATTGCCATCAAGCTGATTCCAACTCACAGCGACCCTATAGGACAGAGTAGAGCTGCCCTGTAGGGTTTCCAAGGCTATAATCTTTACTGAAGCAGACTGCCACATCTTTCTCCCACAGAGCTGCTGGTGGGTTGTAGCTGCTGACCTTTCGGTTAGCATCTGAGCACTTATCCACTGTGCCACCAGGGCTCTTGTCCATTACATTAGGCTGCTGTTATACATACTAATATTCTCAGAGACAAGATTTGAACCACAGTATAACCAGATCTGTGTAGTCTAATTAGTGAGGGAGAATCTATGTGTATATTTTAGAGATCACAGTTATCCCGTCTTCTTCCTGCTTTTGTTTCTATTAATAATTGCTTTCTAACTTGGCATGGAATGAGAGGCTTTGCTGAGGATGGTCACCCTTTAGAAAACACTGATCTTTTTGGCCACTGTTCATTTCCCTTGGCCCGAATATAGAAGGAAATTGGTCACGTGTGTGTCCTTTTGGTATTAGTAATTCTTTTAATTTACATCTTTTTCATTTTGTTAATATAGAGAGCTAAGAGGACATAGTGCTGTAGCTGTGGAATCATTTCAGTTCAGCTGTTAATTCTGATGCCCATTCTACCCAGTGATGGAATCCATATGAAATTTTTCATTATAAAGACTTATAATCTGACCCAGGGCCATACCCCTTTAGGGGCTGTGTATAATATAACATTTTAGGGAACCTGGTATTTTGGGAAGAGCACTGGACAAAGAATCAGAAAACCTGGATCCTTCTTTCCGTAGACTTACTGCCAACCCGAGTTTTGCTACCTTAGGAAAATCACTTCACCTCAGGGTTTTGGTTTTTCTTTTTTTTCCTGTTCAGAGTTTTATATACATATAAGAACCCATTGTCGTCAAGTTGATTCCAACTCATAGCAACCCTATAGGACAGAGTAGAACTGCCCCATACGGTTTCCAGGGAGCAGCTGGTGGATTCAAACTGCCAACCTTTAGTATAGCGTCTGAACTTTTAATCACTGTGCCACAAGGGCTCCATATATATATATGCACATATGCGTATGCATATATATATATAATATATATGCATATATATAATCTTTTTTTTTTCACCTCAGGGATTTGTACTAAATGATTTCAGCCTTTCTAATTATACAGATTTCTCTATCATGTTGGGCTTTTACACTGCCTTCCAAGTTCAAGGGCCATCACTGAGGCCTCACAGAAGTATGAGTGTTTTGTAAAACATTCTTATAAGTAGACTTGGATATATCCCCAAAAATAAGGAGGTTGCTAAGGTGACCTGAGTTGGAAGTCCTGCTGAGCCCAGCGGACCACAGAGTCACTGTAATGCATGCCTCTCCCTCTGCAGGGCTTCATGACTCAGAATACCGCGAAGCAGAATGAGCACTGTCTTAAGAACTTTGACCTCACTGAATACCGTCAGGTGCTGAGTGACCTTTCTATTCAGATCTACCAGCAGCTCATTAAAATCTCTGAGGGCGTGTTGCAGCCTATGATAGGTAAGCTGACAACAAGAGGTTGCTGTCACTCATCCTGGGGTCTGGAGTGAGGGCTGGGGAAACTGTGGTAAGCGTTGCCTGTTATTGTTAGGTGCCATCAAGTCAATTTCGACTCACAGAGACCCCATGTTACAGAGTAGAACTTCCCCATAGGGTTTTCTAGGCTGTAATCTTTATGGGGGCAGATTAGCATATTGCCAGATCTTTCTCCCGTGGAGCCACTGGGTCGGTTTGAACCCCCAACCTTTCAGTTAGCAGGTGAGTGCTTACCAGTTGCACCACCAGGGTTTCTTTGCCTGTTCTTAAGGCACTGGATATATTAGGAATGGCCTCCAGAAAGCGCTGTGAGGACCTTCCCAAATGAAGGCAATGAGTAGGTGGTGTACAGTGTACTCAAGAAGAGCTAGGAAATTTTCAACACCATTCCACAAAAATACATGATGCTTGAGTAGAGTCTAGAAAATTTAGTATATTGTGTACTATGTGTGTTATTTTTTTCCAGAGTGAATGAATTTTTAGTAGGTAATCAATATAAATTCAAAGGGTATAAATGTATAGACAGTGAAAGAGTATAATTCTCTTGCCTGTTATATACTTTTATTCATGAAAAAAGCTTTAAATATGTTCATGAGAAAACACAGTAGTAAGTACTCATTCAGTGAATACCCATTGTACACTCACTTTGTACGGAGCATGTGCTTGTGTGCTTAACATGAAATTGGAAACTGAAAATTAAAAGCAGTTATATTTTAAGTTAAAAGAAAAATAAAAATTAGCTGTGGCATATGTATGCATCACTCACTGAGCTCCATGAAGACCGTGGAGGGAACTGTCCCCTGGAGCCCATGTATTTTTCTTTCCCCAGGTTCTTACAACATAAGCTGGTCATGGGTAAATTCCAAGGAGGACAGAGTCCTTCGGGCCAATCCAAAAATATATCCTTGGGATAAGGTTCATTCCAAATCTTTCTTCCTATTTGGGAATCTTCTTATTGGGTGCTAATTTATTCTCACCAGACACAGGGAAAACTGACATATCAGGCTGGTGATACTTCGTGACTCAGGATAATGTAATGGGTAACATCTCCAGTTCTGGAGTCAGACAGACCTGGGTTCAAATCTTGGCTTTGCCACTTAAGAGCATGACCTGGGGCAAGCTGTTTAACCTCTTTATTCCTCAATTTCCTTATCTGTAAAAAGGGTAAAATCAGTAGTACCTCCATAGGGTTGTTAGAAGATTAAAAGAGCTACTGAACTTAAAGCAACTGGTACATACTAAAGTGCTACTCAATAAATGTATTTACATAGTCACTGGCTGGACTAGGACTACACCCAGTCTCAATTCTCAAACCTTGGGCTTTCAGCACAGAAGGCAGTACAGAATCGAGCTGGTGCATGTCCATTATCTTTGTCCCATCATCAATAAATATTAAGTGAAAATGTGATCCACAGCTGTTTTATTTCATATAGAGACCAGCAGCTTAGAAATTCTGTGCCAAATGTTGGAAGTTCTCAGCATCTCAACATTGTACACCACTGGATAGTACCATTGCTAAGGTCCTGAGTACTAAATGATCTGAGTGGTCCAAAAACAGATCTTGTTTGTGAGGAACATGCAGTCTTTTCTAATCATGCTTTTCTTTCAGTTTCTGCTATGTTAGAAAATGAGAGCATTCAGGGTCTATCTGGTGTGAAGCCGACAGGCTACCGGAGGCGCTCCTCCAGCAAGATGGATGGAGACAACTCATACTGCCTGGAAGCGATCATCCGCCAGATGAATTCCTTTCACACAGTCATGTGCGAGCAGGGTCTGGACCCCGAGATCATCCAGCAGGTGTTCAAACAGCTCTTCTACATGATCAATGCTGTGACACTCAACAACCTGCTCTTGCGGAAGGACGTCTGCTCTTGGAGCACAGGCATGCAACTCAGGTAGGAGCTAAGGCCACACTCCAGCAGCACGGGTGGAGCCCACTCACATAAGCACAACCATAACACAGGACCTTCATCTCTCAGGCTACAATCCAAATCAACTTGATAGTCCTCATCACGGTCAGGATGGGACTCAGACCCATCACCTTTAGATAAAATGCGTTTGGTAAAATTCATCAAACCCTGAGATGGGACTTGGTAAACAAATTAGTTTAAACTTAGAGAAGTTCACACACTCTGATTTAAAGTTGGTAAATGCAGTGTGGATAGGTCAAAAAAGGAAAATCAAGGAGTTAAGAGGCATGAAGACTCACAGTGAAATACAGATTTGTTTGTGGATGTTAAATGTAATTTGTTTTAATTCAGTATATTTAATGCTTTTTTTACATTAATTTTTTTTCTTTTATTGTACTTTAGTTGAAGATTTACAGAACAAACTCGCTTCTCATTAAACAGTGCACATATTGTTTTATGACATTGGTTAACAATGCCACGACACGTCAACACTCTCCTTTCTTGATCTTGGGTTCCCTATTAGCAGCTTTCCTGTCCCTTCCTGCCCTCTAGTCCTTGCCCCTGGGCTGGTGTGCCCCTTTAGTTTTGTTTTGTTTTACGGGCCTGTCTAATCTTTGGATGAAGGGTGAACCTCAGGAGTGACTTCATAACGGAGCTAAAAGAGTGTCTGGGGGCTATACTCTCTAGGTTTCTCCAGTCTCTGTCAGGCCAGTAAGTCTAGTCTTTTTCTGTGAATTAGAATTTTGTTCTACATTTTTCTCCAGCTCTGTCCTTTTCCCATTAATTTGAACAAACACTTCAGGTATTTTATCTTTGCTTGATGTTAAGCACCCATTCATTCTTCATTTCAACATTTAAACTGAGTACCAGGCACTTGTCAAGCTTTTACCCACTTAAGATAATTAAGGTGGGGAGAACGATAACACTAGTTACAACTAGGCTGCAAAGTAAACACAACGGTTGTCCTCATCCTACTGAATCAGGGTGACCGCTTAACACAGCTTACTTTCTACCTATGTTTTTAGGTACAATATAAGTCAACTTGAGGAGTGGCTCCGAGGAAGAAACCTTCACCAGAGTGGAGCCGTTCAGACGATGGAGCCTCTGATCCAAGCAGCCCAACTCCTACAATTAAAGAAGAAAACCCAGGAGGATGCCGAGGCCATCTGCTCGCTGTGCACCTCCCTCAGCACCCAGCAGGTGTGGTCATTCAGTACCTCTACCAACCAGGGTACTCAAAGCAAGCTTCCATTTGGTACCCAGCTTCCATTTCGCATCTGTTCTTGCCAGTGGTTTTTACAACACTCCCCTTCCAGCCTTTAAATACCCCTAAGGATACAATTCTGAAGTTTCGGCTGATGGGATGTTCCTAAATGAACCAAAGACCACCTGTGGAACAAAACACCACGGTTACAGTTTTCCAGTGACTCTCTGGGCCTTCCCGCTCACTTAGAAAGATAAAGTAGTAAACCCACAAAATACCAAGCTTAGGTAAAAACTTTTTTTAAACACTGACAATGAATTCTGGGATGTGTTTCACTTAGAAATTTAAGTTTTTTTTCAGAAATTGCATTTGGCATTTAAAAAATTTGCTTTCTCTACCACTGTAATGTCATTATGGTCATATATTCACTTGACATGGTTTAAAAGAAAGTCATTAAGAGCTTTTGTTGTTGTTGTCAGGTGCTGATGAGTCGGTTTTGACTCATAGTGACCCTGTGTATAACAGAACAAAACGTTGCCCATTCCTGTGCCATCCTGACAACCATTGGTTGCTGTGTTTCAGCCCATTGTTGTAGCCACTGTGTCAATCCATCTTGTTGAGGGTCCTCCTCTTTTTCGCTGACCCTCAGCTTTACCAAGCATGATGTCCTCCAGGGACTGGTCACTCTGATAACATGTCCAAAGTACATGAGAGAAAGTCTCGCCATCCTCGCTTCTAAGGCGGATTCTGGCGGTACTTCTTCAAGTCAGGTTTGTTCACTCTTTTGGCAATCCATGGTATATTCAATATTCTTTGTCAAACCATAATTGAAAGTCATCAATTCTTTTTCAGTCTTCTTTATTCATGGTTGAGCTTTTGAACCTAGAGGAATTTAAATGTTCCTTTCCTTTCTCCCCAAAAAACTCTACATATAATATGACCTGGTTGCAGAGATATTCCTAGTCCATAAAAAGATAAGTCCTTCCACACGCAGGGAGACCTGACCCTCCATCATGAATGTGCCCATTTGGACGTGGGCCACGGAGACCAGCACAAGGAAGTCACACTTTCCAAATTAATTGATGCACCTTCTTCCTATCCAGCACCTAAAGAAAAACAAAATCCAAACTAAGAAAAAACAAAACAAATACATCTTAGTATAGCAGACGAACCATACCCTTACTTACCTTCTCCACTAACTAAAAGATGAAATACCAAACTTTTAAGAAAACTGCTTCCTTCTGTAAATGTACTGAAAATTTTCAAACACTTTTCCCCCTTTTAAATATATTTCGCTTTCATAAACTTACCTCTGGGATGCAGCTGACATTGCTTTGCATCACTTGGGCAGGCTGCTTCCACCAAACAGTTTGTAGGCAGACGAAAGATGATCCACCATCAAATAAGAAAATCTACTCATTAGTAAATTAGCTTCTTTTTTTGGAGGGGATGCTATTAAAAAAGAAGACCTTTCTTATCTAAAATAAATTCCCCACTTCTCTCTTGAAGAAATCTTTAAATTATTAGTTAATAAGAGGCTGAGGACTTCAGACAGCAGTATCCTAAAATCCTCATTATTTTATACGCCACCAGGCATTGGGGGTGGGGCAGGGTGAGTATGTAGGAGATACAGATCCAGTAAAAGGGCTCAGATCTACCCGGCCAAGCCTGTGGATTCTAGTTTATTAAATGTAGACTCCTGGTGTAAATATAGGGGCCCTGGTGACTCAGTGGTTAATCATTTGGCTGCTAACCAAAAGATCAGCAGTTCTAATCTACCAGCCACTCCTTGGAAACCCTATGGGGCAGTTCTCCTTTGTCCTATAGGGTCTCTATGAGTTGGAATTGACAGTGGGGATTACAGGAGGTGTAAATGTCATTCCAGCCCTGTCAAAGTTGTGGCTCCTCCCTAAAGAGGACTATACTCTGTGCCAATGTTATATATTCTTTAAAGCTCAAAAGTCATCTTATGTTCAT